CCCCCCCCTCCCCCCCCCCCCCCCCCGGGAAAAAAAGAAGGCCGTCATCGGGAGAGACCACTCTCAGTAGGTCCTTCAAAGCCATTTTAACAGCAAACGCCTTCCTATGTGAGACGCCTTACAATAGGTCTTTTGAAGTTGCCTTCGTCGAGTGACAAACGTTCACCTGTGTCATGTTAAAGGGATAGATCCTTAAAAGAGAGTTCAATCCTGCTGTATGTCTTTTCGAAGCCTTATGCATGGAATCGTCTGAGGTGGCCCTCTCATCATCATCATCTTCATCAACTGTGAGGACCGAGTACTGTGGTTGTAGCTACCACAGTTTCGTTCACCGATAGTTTATTGAGGCGGGGTAGGTAGCTGCGCATTGGAGGTGGGAGCTGAGTGCGTAAATACAGGACTGTTAAGTGGGGGGGTCTTGGGCAGGGAGCTATGCATTGAAGGTTTGGATGCACGTACGCCATTGAGGGCGTGACTGCGCCATATCTGACAGTGTCTCTAACCATTGGTGTGGCCCGTCTCGGGGTCCCCATCCATGAAGATGGCAGTGACCAGCACAGCTGATAATGGCCTTCACAACTCGTCGTTTGACCTCTCCTGGCTCGTTTCCACCCTTCAAGTGGTAACCCTCTCCGTGGAAGGAATTAACCACCAGGTGAGGAGAGACGAACACTAGTCCTCTTTGCACACGCAATAGTAACAGTATCTCTTGTTTTATATGACACGGTAAATACGATGACATAAGACTGTAGCCATCTAGTGAGGCGGATTTTATCTTCGTGCAATTATTCGGGTGGATAACTGGCAGCATTATGCATGAAAGTTAAATGCGCGAACCCCGCATCGTTGTCTTCTTCGGGGGACGGGATTCCGCTCTACAGAAATTTGAGAGTGGGTGTTGAAGAAGATCTCCCAAAAGGTATCAGCTTCAAGCCAGGACAGGAATGAAGTACTTCTTACTGAAGACGCCTCATGCCATCCACTCACAGAAACCGTGTTTCGCTACTACACACCTTAAAGCCCTTACCGTACTCTGTCGCGTATGCCCCTTGGGATCCAGTGGTGATATGCCTTTTCAACGGTACAAGTGACGCAACTTAGCAAACGTGATTCGGGCTTTTGAGATTCGTGCACTGACTTCAGCAGACACATTTCCGTCAGAGTTAATGCAATTCTACACAACCTCCGGTGCTTCTTGAGTTACACTGGGTTGCACCTTGTGAAACATGACTTTACACTTTATAGATGCAAGACATATATTGAAAGGTGATCAGCCTATTTAACAGACCTTTTGCTTTATCTTTGCCTTCAGAGATGAAGACGATATCCTCTTTCCACTCCAGATCGCACCAGTAGAGGCACAAACACCGTGGTTTTAAAGATTCTCCAGGTTAGGTGAACAAAAATGAAACGGTTGGACATCCTTTCCGGATACAACTGATAGGGTAGCTTGTAGGGAGGTCACTGTACATTCACACCCCGAAGTAGGTGAATACTGCCACGCCACCCGATGAGGGCATGAGAGCTGGAATACTGCCAGGTTGCCCAAGCCTAGACAGGGTTCGAAGCATGACCCATAGCTAATTCCGGAGAATTCCACATCTCCTGTTGGCTCTAGTAGTATTTAAACAGATTCAGCCTAACCGTTTTGTTTCACCTTGATTCTTTCTATCGTATCAATGTATGTATCACAATGTATGCAGATATCACTCCCGCCGACAAGGGAAAAGTCATTTGCGGATATCACATTCCCCACTTGTTTAAACAGTCGCTTTGTCCAATCATATGAGAAATTTTCTTGTTGAAATAGCCACGGTTATTCCTAGAATACGTCTTTAGGGAGGGGACAAGATGTAGTATTCCGGAGTGAGTGCGGAGTAATAGCTGAACCCACCAAAATCAACCGGAGCTACCCAGAGATCGATTCAACTATGATGTAAAGTGTTTGAAAAAAGTCTGGAAAGATTGATGAATGGAACTGAGTAAAAATTATTGGTTGGTCGGAATAAGCCCAAAGCGGCTGTAAACTGTTGATAGAAAAACGTACGGCAAACGCGAAAAACACCGATCGTCCCATCCGCTTCAAGTAGATCACAACCACTCATCCAAATGCTTCAATTTTCCATATGATTACAGACAATCACCTTTCTTGAGTCTTTACAAACCTATTTGTTCAGCATCTCGAGTTGCAAACAGACAGGTCACTGGTGTAGTGTGCAACCTCTCTGCATTTTTTCCACTCGAGAGCTACGATACCTTCTTTCACCTCCCTCTGGATGGGTTGGAAGCGGTTTCTGACGTGGCGAAAGGTCGAAAGTGCCATACAACAGTGACGCTAGGTTAACATCCTGACGTTGAATCGTCCAGTTGTAACGCCGTTTCGGTGCCTAGCTGCCATGCCACTCGAAGGAAGCATGTGTGGGCTGGGATACTGCCAGATGGCCCGAGTCTAGACAGGAGAAAACGAGATGCAGAGGCCGGGTTCGACCCACGACTCTTCCAGTCAGTAAATTCGCCCGTTCACCACTAAGCCATCTCGCTCCCGCACCAAGTTTTAGTTCAAAATAAATAGTGGAATTTGTGTGAAATAAAATTCCGAGATGAAGTCAGTCATTTTTAAATGCTTCACCATTAGTTCGCTTTGTGGGCTGGGATACTGCCAGGTGGCCCGAGTCTAGACAGGAGAAGACGAGATGCAGAGGCCGGGTTCGACCCACGACTCTTCCAGTCAGTAAATTCGCCCGTTCACCACTAAGCCATCTCGCTCCCGCACCAAGTTTTAGTTCAAAATAAATAGTGGAATTTGTGTGAAATAAAATTCCGAGATGAAGTCAGTCATTTTTAAATGCTTCACCATTAGTTCGCTTGTGTTGTTTCTGCCTTCATTGGAATCCGGTTTATGCATATTTCATGTATCCTATCGAGTTCTCACACGTATTGTCTCATTTTTGTTCACCCTCCCTCCCCTTCACACTGCAGGCTTCTCCAGTTCAACCAGGTATGTCTTCTGATTAGCTGAGTTTTCAGTGTATTGGTTGGAACTCACTCATTTGGAAATAGCATTGACTACTAGGTGTTCATATCTTGGTAGATTGAAGTAAAAAGGGAACTGAAACAATCGTTTCAGAGAGGTGTGGTAAACAATCGATGGATTTGTTGCTGGGCAACGTTTCGCTTTTGACACAAAAGCTTCATCAGGCCAAGTGAGTAAGTAAGTAGGTTGATTGGGTTTTAAGGCAGTCAGGAGACCAGTCCGTGAGATTTCTTCTGACTAGCCTACTTGATCATTGTTTGGTGTTCAGTCTGATGTTTCTGTTTGTTGGTTAGTGGGGATAACTAACATTTTTGATAGATTGGTTGGGGACCCAGATTTTTCGTTCCCCCTACCCCCTACCCTATTTTCATCACATTATGGAGCAAGGTGTGGGGTTCAAATTGGAAAGCATGCAAAATTCTCGTGCGCAATTCGGTTCAGTTACACCCTTACTCCATCCGGCTTTTCAATTTAAATCGTTCTCACCAAAAGATTCAACCAGTCTTACAAAAAGTTGCCAAACTAATGAATGCACACCGTGCGCTTTTCACCCAATTAAATTAGATCTAAGGCCGCTCTCCACACGTTTGTAATTTCTACCCCCTCTATTCTATTTAGGCTGGGATGCTTGGCGATTTACACCGCCTCGGTGGGAATCTTAAACCCCGTCTCAGGATATCCACATTTTCTGAATCTATCCTATGCCCAGTGTCTATGGCATGCCCTGCCATTGTCGAATCTTTGATTATCGCCTGGTGTTCATCTACGTTTCTCGGTGGTCTAATAATGGAACGCTTACGGTCACCGATTCCGGTGTGCGTCCCTGGCTGTCTGACCTATATAAACCTTCGTACAGTCGTTACATGTTATTGTGCATACACAGTTCCTAGTCCTATCAACCGGAAGGCGATCCTATCGTAAATGTTAGTCATCCCCACTAACCAACAAATAGACTGAACACCTAGCACTGATCAAGTCGAGTAGTCATAAGAAATTTCACGGATTGGTCCCCTGACTGCCTTAAAACCCAATCAACCTACTAACTTGCTCACTTGGCCTGATGAAGCTTTTGTGTCAAAAGCGAAACGTTGCCCAGCAACAAATCCACCGATTGTTTACCAACCCCATCTGAAACGATGACTTCCCAATCGGTCCCAAACATTCTCCGATTAATTGGGGACTGAAATAACCTTTCATCTTCTTGTTTGATTGCTGAATTCTTCCAACGTATCGTCATGTTATAATCTCCTAGATCAGAGTTGAACCGACAAGAACGACGGTGAGGTGAACCGAAGTTTAACACTGTTTAAAAGCTCCATTTCATGAGAATATACCGTTTCTTAAATTTTATGCGGTTCGCTTAGCAAGGAAGATTATTGATAGACTATTCTAATGTTGGAAGGTTGCACCGTGCATTCTGTCTTTCTCAAACACCTTTTGAATACTATTCTTTCATTATACGATATTATTTTATACCGAACTCTTCATGTTTCTACACAGGTGCCCAGGTTCAAGAACCTGATTCTACATCAGCGCCTCTTGCTTCAGTTGTCCACGTGCCTACCGATGCCGACATTCCTGTGGATAAAGGAACCACCGAAAAGTCGGAGAGACCATCTATCCCGCAACCTTCGGAAGCTGCCGCGTCCGATTCAGATGGCGCACCATGTTCGCACATTCTATCCCGTTCAGGCTCCGTGGACTCGTTTGTTTTCATAACCGATGACACCTCAACCTCCCACGGACAGTCTAGTGAAGATTCGTCTTCTGATGGTCCTCCCTACAATGGCTCGTTAATTAAAGTCGTACGTTGCCGCCCCGGCGCTGCTCCACGTAGCCAGCGTCCTGCTCTATTCTTTGCTCTTTCTTTGGCACATCAGCTGGCTCAGAAGTGGCCAGAATTCGCCCGACAAGCCGCGTTGGAACAACACTCCACTCCTGCATTGGCCGTACGGCGTTTCGCCCCGGTTTTACAGCTGTTTGTCTCTCTGGTTCGTGTGATTCACGCAAACTTGGTCTATCTACACGTCATGCTTTATGCTCCGCTAGCAAAACTCGATCCGACCTCGGCCAAATTCGTGAAAGTGAAAGCCCTGTTAGCAACAGTCAGGTATGTGATGTGGTGTTCTTGTCACAATCGTCGTACAGTCATTGGTCTTCTACGTATTGCTTCACTGTTCCCAGGTGTATCAAGTAGCCTACACCCCCCCACCTTACACTCCCCCCCAAGGAACCCTTCTTCGAGGAAGGGTCTTCTCCTTGAGAGTGAGGAACAACATACCCTTTCGGCTATGGTTTAGTCTTCGATCTCCCGGAAAATGATGGTGTGCGCCTTTCCCTTGTGGACATCCCCTTAGAAGGAATGCAGAGGCTCGAAACCAAGTCAGCTTACAGCGTTTCAACCCGGTATCTAATGCACTATATATTATCCATCCTTATTCTTCCAGAAAATCTCTGAAGAATCTGATCCATGTCCTGCTGACCTCTCTGACGATCCCCTCCGTTGCTCTGCTTCAAAAGTCTACCGCCGATTCACCTTCGGTCCCTTCGGAAACGAGCCTGCCAATCGCATTGATGTTTACCACACCTGGCTCCGTTGCTCTCGAACTATCGGTCATGCAGCTCAACGCCCTTTCGGAGATGTTCTCTCGTATTCCTCACTTGACCCGGTGGACCGGCACAGCAGGCGATCCGTCGCTGTCTTCAGCGGCGCTGTCTCTCCTACAACTACTATCCCGGAAAATGATGGTGTGCGCCTTTCCCTTGTGGACATCCCCTTAGAAGGAATGCAGAGGCTCGAAACCAAGTCAGCTTACAGCGTTTCAACCCGGTATCTAATGCACTATATATTATCCATCCTTATTCTTCCAGAAAATCTCTGAAGAATCTGATCCATGTCCTGCTGACCTCTCTGACGATCCCCTCCGTTGCTCTGCTTCAAAAGTCTACCGCCGATTCACCTTCGGTCCCTTCGGAAACGAGCCTGCCAATCGCATTGATGTTTTCCACACCTGGTTCCGTTGCTCTCGAACTATCGGTCATGCAGCTCAACGCCCTTTCGGAGATGTTCTCTCGTATTCCTCACTTGACCCGGTGGACCGGCACAGCAGGCGATCCGTCGCTGTCTTCAGCGGCGCTGTCTCTCCTACAACTACTATCTCTACAACCAGAGGAGGACGTCATAGAGACAACAACCACAGGACCGGCTGTTGTAAGCTCTGGTACAACTGCGGTTCGCGGAGATCCAGAACAAGCTAATGCCGTCAATCAGGCACTGGAGTTGTGCTTAACCATGCTGGAAGTGTTGTATTCACGAATCAGAGAGGGGGTTTGCAAGACGGACCCAAAGGAAAAGGTAGCAAATCTGGTGTGATTTTGTACAATGCTTCCCCAATTGTTGGTTTATGTGACGCCTGGTTCTGACATCTTCCATATTTCCCTCAATTCTGTTTTCAATTTTAGGCGAGTCTCACTTATCCCACCGTGGCAAGCAATCCCAGTGTTGCCGGTCTTCTGCAGGCTGCTCTGTTGGGGACCGCAAACCACAACACCGGACTGCTCGCCGAAACCGGCGCTTCCTGCCTTGCCAGTTGGTCTCCACTGTTGGAAGCACAGTTTAGTCTGGATCATTTAGCCAACCCGTTGCACGAAATTGGCTGGATAGCGATGCAGGCTTGTCTACGGTTGCCACGGGTGATATTGCTACTGCGTGGGACGTCGGCTGCAGCGCGAGGTCGTGTTCGGTCTGCGCCCACCACTTCCTCCACGACCGTCCCGTCGACGAGTCACCGCAAAGCCAATCAGGTCGCCGTGGAATTCGAGAGTCGATGGTGTTCCGTTCTCTATGACTATTTGGAGTTGGTAAACAGTCCGGAATTGTTGAATTTGCAGTCAGATCACAGTGACCCCGATCATCATTCCGTCCGATTGGCAGGCCGCAGCTTGCTACCGGCGTTTTTCAGTCCCAGCTACCCTCGATCCAAAGAACTCACTGATCGTATTGAGCGGCAGATTCGTGGTGTGAGTTTTTTTTCGTTTGGGATAGTATGCCTTTGTTTAGTGAGAGTTCCTTTTCCCGCACTTCATCGTCCTCCTCCTCCCCATCATCCAGCTGCTGTAAAAATTGTGCTATTGGACGGAGGTGGAGTTAGTTTAAAAAGTAGTCAAGTCTTTTCATGACGGAAGCTACTCACAAGGTTGCTGAAAACTCCTCGACAGCCCACGACCGGTTTCGCCCTTCCAGTTCGAGCTCATCAGGTAGGCGCAGTCCCCGAGTTTCCACCGTCAACCTTATGTTCTAATTGAACCCCTCAAATTCGACTGTTTTCGGGAAATATACTCATTTGCAAATCAATTTGGTTTTCACGAGAGACTCAACTGAATCTCTCGTTTATGATATTCTACAACTGAATTCAATTTGTCAGCTATAGACCCTGCACATCCATCTGCTACCGTTTCGATCACCGGAAAGTGGGAGAGTGCGGCGATACGGCCAAGCCTTCGAGGTAATTGCATGTTCAGTTAGTTTGGGAATTGGTTAGCTACGCTTCGAATGCGCGACCGGGCCATTTCTACCAGTGTCAATAACCATTGGTGAGTTGAGTCCCGGGGTCCCCATCCAGGGCGACGACAGTTGTCGACCCGACTAGATTGTTGCCAGATCATACACCGTCTACCTCTTAGACGCTTGCACTCAGCACAGGGCTGGGTGAAAAGAGCTCTGTGAGGTAGACAGTTCTCTGGCATGTGAAGCACATGTCCCGATTAGCGTAACCTATGAATTGTGAGTAATTTGTCTATCGCGGAAGAGTTTCCTCTTCCATAGACCATCTGGAGTACCAATCCATCAGGCCTGACCAATGCTCCGAGGACACCGATATCTTTTGCATGTCATCTGTGCGTAGAGGCCACGTTTCTGATCTGTAAAGCAATATGGATCGCAACTGTCGCAGTGTAAACTCTTTGTCTTTGACAGACAAACCAGTGTGCCCAGTTTTAGGAAACCAAAGCATTACCTTCGCTGTGTTATCCGTATTGGTTTTATATAAGCTGTTCCCTCTATGTCTCATCACAGTTGCGAGCCAAGTCTTAGATCTTATTCACCATTATTTTCATGCCTGAAGGATGTGGCTTGAGCGGCGAGTACGAACAAATTCGACTATGAGCAACGAACTGTCCTAACACGCTCATTTCCCTAACTGCCTTCATGATAGTCTGCACATCCATTGTTGGAAATCGTGAACCCCGAATTCCTCTGACCTTTTCCGCTGCTCACACGGTTCACACTTTTCTCTAACCCAGCTACTCATTCGTATTGTGGGTCCGAAGCACTATCGCCAGCTACATGACATCCATCGCCTTGCTCATCTGATTCAACGCGTTCGAGATATTTGTGTGAACACTGGGGAATTTCTCCCTTCGCCACCACCACGAGTCCCCTGTGGGAAACGTACAAACCAACTACCTACAATCGCTTCAATAGAACCTTTCGTCCGTCGACTACGCCTGTCCTACATTTGTGAGCGTGAAATCGTGAGTTTTATCTGTGTGATTGTAAGCAATTTGTTTTCGCCGTAACACTCAAAGCTGTGACTGTATGATCCCCCTTGGTTCTTTTAGCTTCTGTTCAGTCGGGCTTCTCTGCGGCTGTGACGTGGTAGATATCGCCAGACTGCTCACTTCAAGGCAGATGTGATTGAAAACCAGAAACCGTCCAGTCAGAAAGGTCCATTGTGCTCGGTTGCATGGTCACGAATAGCCAATTTCGTTCCTTTATTTGGTTCTCACAAATCGTGTCTGCTCAGGCTACACCGTACACAATCTTTCGAAGTCTCTGTGAATGCTTTCCCTCTGCTCCCTGCCAAAAAAACGAGGAGAACTGTAAAGTCCTTTTTTAAATCGTCGTTGCAAATCATTAGCAGTGCATGACCGACGAATCTCGAGGGAAATTCGAGCCCGCAACACTAAATCGTTTGGGATCGAGCGGCTGCTCGGCTATGTGAATAAGAGAAATGTGGCCAATCCTTGACTTGGCAGAGGAGTATGAAGGAGATCACGAAACGTTTGGGTGCTGTCGGTGCTACTCGCCTTCCAGGATGGGGACCACGTGATCCTCACTGTGCCTGGTTGGAGATACCACAAGATATGGCTACCAACCGATGTCAGTGGCGTTCCTGTTGTCAGTTTCTATCCAGATTGCCCAAGTGAATATCTGGAGGTGTAAGCACTTTGGAATGATTGTATTAAGCTGGCACTAAGTCCCTTCCCCGTCCACCTTTACTCTTTTCTTTACAATGAGGCTTTCCAATAAGTCATGGTTCTACCGCAGTGATGTCATGCTGTCAGTGATGATGATGAACGTTCCTTCAAGCGATCCAGAACACCGTATTTCTTGATTTCTGGGTGTCACTGACAAGATTCGCTCACGTATCCGTTGTATTCTGTCCTTCTAAAAACAGCTTCAAACAATTTCCGCCTGCCTGACTATCGCTTTGAATCGAACCAGTTACTGGCAGCGTTTTTGTCTCCGATGTCCTGGTAAGTTACCGTCGACGTTGTTTTCACTCTCACCCTACCGAATTGGCGCTCATGAGTTTCCTTCTCTCCAACCCGTGCAGATACATTGATATTCCTGTTCCATGCCAGTCTGGTACTTGATCGTGAGATTGCCCGGAATATGCTACCCCTCATTCAACTGGCTATTGCCCCTGAAACGGTGATGGTAGTCGATAGTTCAGGCGTGGAAACCTCTATTCAGGTTGGTTAACTATAGTTGTCTTCAGCTGTTTTCTATATGTTCTTTTTAAATTCGCCGTTGTTCAATGACCTCCTCTCAGAGAGAGGAGCTCACATGTAAAGTGAATCCCTCATGTGAGCAGATCGGGCTAAAATTGTTCCTCAAACACCGTTACATCGTCTTCTCTGTGTGTTTCAAGGAATCGAGCTGTCCATTTGGTGAATCGATGTTTACCACCTGACAGACAAGGTTGTCCACTCTCTCTCTCTCTCTCTCTCCATTCTTGTTAACTTCGCCATTGATTAAATAATCAGGCGAACACTGGACGGTCCTCAAAACCCCGGTGTTCAAATTGTTGCTGGTGAGGGCCTTGTCGATCTCGAGTACGCAGATGACATCTCCTTCATCTTTGAAGACCAAAGCCAAGCACAAGCCCTGTTGACTAAACTGACCACCATCATACCATCTTTTGGCATGCGGCTTGCATCTTTAAAGTGCAAAGCCATGCTTCAGAACGTGCCATCTGCGAACATATCTCTTACAATTCAAGGGGAATCACCGGAGATTTTGGGAAACTTTACATACCTCGGTAGTTGTATTAGCTCTGACGGAAATGTGTCTGATGAAGTCAGTGCAAAAATCTCAAAGGCTGGAATCACGTCTTCTAATTTGCGTCACTTGTGGCGTCAAAAAGGCATCTCACTGGATCTTAAGGGTAGTGTGTACCAGGCTACAGTAACGGCTGTGTTGTTGTATGGGTGCGAGACATGGCCTCTTCGG